TTATATAGAGCTCTTCAGGACACTCAAAGTCTCTTCAAATGACATTATTTGTTTTCACTCCAAACACAGCGGGGATAAACTACTATTGTAGCCACAGCCGCCCTGGGGCACATTGACAGATTCGAAACAACCAGTCTGTGCCATCAGCTCGTCCCACCACCACCAACCAGACTCATTCTAATGTGGGGGAAGTGTCTTGCCTAAGGATAACATACTTTACAGCCTGATGTTCCCAGAGGTCTCCCATCACAGTACTTACCAGGCCCTGCTCTGCTTAGTTTCAGATGTCTGACTAGACCTGGCTTTCAGACTCAAACCCTTTTTCTCCTTTTAAAAAACTCCAAAATACATTGTTTATGTCTGTGGCTATAACATCACACAATGTGTGCAAGTTGTAGCTTAGCTGATGAAAGATAAAGTCACCCCCTGCAGGACACTCTCTCTGCTCTGGAGAGCAGCTTCAGTGACAGACTAATTCACCCTCGATGTGTGAAGGAGACAGGAACTGCTGAGTCTGCACAAGTGTCACTGATAATTCACTATTAACTTTGTCACTAGTCACTTTACCTGTTATCAATACTACTGTATTATTACATATCTGATAATTCTGCCTTTCACCGTCACTTTACCTGTTGATATTATTTCTGATGTTTATTCTGCTCATATTCTCATATTCTCATATTCTCCGCTGCTAATGTATAATATAGACATCTGTAAATACTCCGAACCAAGTGCAATTATAGCCCAGATTTTATCTAATTTTATTTTATCTTAAATTTATTGTTTATTACCTTAAATAATAGACTTTGATGTGTGCAATCTGAGTGCTCTTATTTCCTTTCTCTGCTGTAATGTGCAACGATGACACTGAAATTTCTCCACTGTGAGACTAATAAAGGTTTATCTTATCTTATCTTATAAGTCCAAAATGTGTCTAAATTTGAGCACATTCTGAATACTTTAAAACATGATTCCCCAATGGGACAAAGCAAAATTATCTTGTTTAAAAAAAGACTCCCTGAAGTGAGGAAATAAAGCAACAGTTTTTGAAATAAGACAAAATGTCTTTGTCCCTTTGAAGAATCTGGTTTTAACTTTTGAATGCTCTAGAAACGACAGAAAGTCCTAAGTGTCTCTGAAACAGTTGTTTTGTGTTTTAGATGTTGCTGCAGTACAGTGTTCATGGTTTTGCACTGGTCCAGACCAGAGCAGAGAGGATTCATGGTCTGAACCAAGTGGATCAGGCAAAAATCCACTGAAGGAATGCAAACATTTTGAAAAAAGCTAATGAAGCATTCAGCATTTTACTTTGGACCAGAGCAGAGAAAATGGACCAAACCCAGCGGCTCCACTTCTGCTGCTACTAATACTATTCTTGTTATTTTTAGAATTATCTATTTGTTTGTTTGGATGGATGGATGTGTTTCTGCTGCTACTGGACACCTGCATTTCTCCTAAGGGGATCAATAAAGTATCTATCTACGTTTCTATCTATTGAACACAGTCAGAATGTGCTCAGATTAAGAATAAAAACACTCGATTCAAAAAACTATTACCTCATATTTGATTTCTTTGTTATCTCCATCCATATCGTCCATTACCTAGAGCAGAATCAGTGCCTCTCTTAAACATGCAAATATGAAGCCTCTTTCTTGCCGCTTTCATTCCTCAAATAGACCTCGGTTTGGGGATATTTTTAGCTCTGCACTATTTTCTCTGCGTCCTTGATGTTGCAAAGGTTTTAACTGACTGGTACCATTCTGTCTAAGCTTCTGTCGCTCTCTCCTTCTCTACAGACGCCGGGTTCAGCGATTAAAGACTGATATTACTTTCATTTGTACACTCATTTGTCTGACTTTGCCTTGCGTTTGTTAGAGAGGATAGTTCTGGAGAAAGAGCGAGCACTTTTGGCGGCTCTGCTCTACCGTTGCAGTTTTAATTAGCAGCAAGTCTGGGTTTAGATTTAGATGTTTGCGTTAGAGGAGAAAGGTGATTATGAACATGTGGTGTAGAACAAACTGGGCTGATGCCAGGAGGAAGTATAGGCTAGCAGAGAAACGAACATGAAAAACCAACAGCTGGGACTGGAGATTCATTTAAGAGTGAAGTCTCCATTAAATATTGTTGAAATTTGGTTTGTTTATAAGTATTGATGAAAGTATACAGTTAAAAGGTCTAAAAATAGACCCAGATAGATAGATAGATAGATGGATACATAGATACATATATAGATAGATAGATAGATCCTACGTGGATTTCAGAAAACCCTCAGTCATGTCCCTTGTCAATGTCGAGGGTTGGGAATTTTCTGACTGTTGTCTCTTCGGCGAGATTCCAACCCCCAACATGGTCAAAGAGTTGAACACCCAAAAAGACTTTTGAAGCAGAGATACCTAAACTGAAAAAGGAACTAGAAGAGTCTAAAATCCAGAACGCACATCTAACCAAGACAAGAACTCCAACAAGTTTAGCTTCAGAAATATGTCAGGATTGAGGATTGAGCCGCCAACCAATACTTGAGCAAGACAAAATCTTTGCTAGAAGATGAAATTAGTGTTCTGAAATAAGAAACAAACTCAAGGCTTCAATTGTTGAGTATGAGGCCAAAGAAAATCATTGTCGTGATCATCATTTAATTGTGAGATCAGCAAAGTCAGGAAAAAGACTTTTGCTGTGAACATTAACCACATCCAGGATCTGCAAGAAAGAATCAGGATACAGAAAAAGAAACATGTAGTAATAATGAGCGACTTTCTTGCGTCCACAAACTCTAAACTGTCAGAGGAACGAGTGAAAAACTGTGAACAAGGCAACAAGATTCCACGGCTGAAAGACAAAAACATGGATTTACTTCAATTTAAGTCAATTTATTCTCGTATTGCCCTAAATCACAACAGTAGTTACCGTTGAAATCGCCAACAACAGATCAGAGAACACAGAGAACACAGAGAACACATGGCATTGGTCCGTAGGGAGTTTGAGCAATGTCCATGAGTGTCTTGGATCATCACCACAGCCCTTTAAGTTAGACCCATAGTTACTCCAAAGACTTCAACAACTTTATAAAACTAACTGCAATTCTTCCGAACAAGAGAATGACCCAACTCAAGTCTTTAGTTGGGTCACTCCAAATACATGTGACCTCTCTGGAGGATGAGTGTAAATGTCTCAAAGTCTAAAGATGACAAAACTCGTGTTGAGACCGACATGGCAGGTAATAGTCTGTGAATACGAAGCTGGAAATCTGCATATCCTCTCTACGGAAGGAGATGGAAGCTTTGAAGTCCAGAAACGTAGAGCTGGAAGATGCTGAGTCTTTCCTTAACCCTTTTATTTCCTCAACCTTGGTGCATCCCTGTTGAGTCACAGAAATCTACCTCATTGTTGCTCAAACTGCATCTCAACCATTTGGTAAAGGCCTACGATTTAAAAAAAAAATCTTATAAAATCAAAACAAGAAAAACTGACATTGCTTTCTTCAAGGAGAGAACATTTAAGTAAAATCTTGGTAAGATTTATTTACTAAAAATAACATAAATGATGATTGTTTTTTGCTTGTTTTTGTTGTTGCTTGAATGTAGTTTGTCATGAGATTATCCAGACAACTTTTCTTGTTTAGATAAAATAATTTTGTGATGCTGTATTTTAAGAAAACATTTCTCAAAAATATTTAATGAGTTAATAATACTTGAAATGTATGTTTTTAAACTAGAATCAAATCATTTGGGGCTTGTATTATTTTCTTATTTTCAGAAATCATATTTTCTTCTTCTATTGTCAGATCATTGTTATTATTTTAAGCAGCATTTTACTTATTTTCATATATGTTTTTCTTATTTTTTTCAAGGGAGTTTTTCCAGTGCAAAAATCAGGAGGAGATTAGTAGACAACACTGCTTGGACTGCTGCCCCCGTGACCCAGCAACGGATCAAGCGTGAGAAAATGTATGGATGTGTTGTGGTCTGTTTTGATGAGACATTGTAGTTATGAAACAAACACAGATACTCCTGCTTAAGGCAACAGGGAGTCCTATAATCTCATGGTGGGATTGACTTTTATTGGGTTAGTTACATAAAACCTAAATCTCAAATGAAAAACTAAAATGTAATTAATCTGATGAATTAAGAATAACACGTGGATATTTAAATGGAAGCAAGAGCTCAGAGGAAGTAAACTGGTCATTCTTCTGACGGTCATGAACTGGGAGGTTTTATGGTCGTTACTGGTTAAATGAGGCTTTGATGGTTGTGTCCTGGTTTATCCCCAATGCACACATGGTTCTCTGTCCTGGTTTGATCCTTGTTTATTTGCGTTTTATAAGAAATTGTCGATGCATAATCAGTCTGTGTCTCTGTTCGACTCAAATATTATGGTAAAGGTGGATAAGTTCAGTTGTCCTGGGGTAACTGTAACTGTAACCCCATGTATTTAGAGTACTTTTCTGAGTAACTGTCTTTCCTTACAGCAGGGGTGTCCAAACATTTTAGAAAGACTAAGACTAAACTGTTCTTGCCTACAATCATTGACAAACAAACAAACTAATATAGACATAAAATAGGTTATAGATTAAAAGAACTGTATGTAATATTTTCATTTTAAAATACATCTACATCTTGTCTATTTTCCCCAGATAACAGGTCACATGCGCAAATCATATTAGACAAATTTCTGAACAAAAAAAGAGTTAGAACACACATATCAAGTCGATAAAAATTATATCTATACTATTCTATTCAATCAGAGAGCAGAATGAGGTACTGAACTGGGTCGACAGAACAAGGACTTCTGGATGGGAATCAAAACGTCTTGATGCTGATCACTTGAGGCGCAAAATATCTTTAGCTTGAGGAGAAAAATACTGGATAAAACCATCAAGATGATAATTATAATTCAGTGTATTCATCTGTGCCTTTCTTGAGACTCAAAGAGATTTCACAGAGACGGAAATCGCAATTAAAAAGCTGCGGATTGAAAAACATAACACATCAAGGAGAAGAGGCATGTCTGAACAGGTGGGATTTAAGACGGGGATTTGAAAATGGGTGGAAATGGAGATTTACTGTAGATTCAACTGAAATCTCATTATAAGAAAAGACATTTGACGGTGAGATGGCAGGAAAGTTGTATTTTGGGACGATATCTGTGCGTCAGACATCACCCTCGGAAAAGAAGAGGCTACATGAAAAGACTGGATTGGATTTATGGTCATCTTTATTTTAGTTCATCAGAATTTAACTTAATTTGTGACTTTTTGTTGGGAAGTTCCTTGTATTTCTGAAACTGTTAAGTCAGCCTGTGTCTACATTTGTGACCTTTGATCTCTGCCGGTTATGGATCAATGGCTCTATGTGTTTTTTATGGGTGCATTACCTGTGTTTGAACGGTTTGATTCTCTGATCTATGTTGGCGAATCGACAAGAAAACTACTGTTGTGATTTAGGGCTATACAATAACCCTAACCATGTGTGTTCAATGACATGTATCTTGTCTCATTTTGAAGACCAGGCCTACAGTGGAGATTTACTGTAGATTTAACAGAAATCTCATTATAAGAAAAGACATTTTCTGTGCGTAATTTTATCTTCATTTGAGACTTTTAGATTTTGCAAAGTTCCTTGTATTTCTGAAACTAGGTCAAGTCTAGTTAAGTCAGATGATTTCTACATAGTGACAATATGGAATTATATCTTGTTCTATCTGATGTGTGTTGGCGAATCGACAGCTTTGTAAAGTCCTCCGACCAAAAATCACTTCTGCAGTGATTTAGGTCTATACAAAATTACATTTAATTGAAGTCTACAAAGCGAGAGAAGCGAATGAAAATATATCTTTGTAATAACTAAACCGACACAACAATTCATTTTAGTGTATGTTTTGCTGCATACATCTGGTGTCACTGTGAAGACCACTGTGATGCAGAGAGAGACTTAACCCTTCTTTCCTTCTGGTCTCTGATGTCTTCGTGGGTCCAGTGTCTCGAGGCCAGTGTTGTCCCCCTTTTCCGCTGCACAATGACCGTCGATCATCTCTGTCTGCTCCACTGAGTCCACTCCCCCACAGCTCTACACTCTACAGCTCTACACTCTACAGCTCTACACTCTACAGCTCTACACTCTACAGCTCTACACTCTACAGCTCTACACTCTACAGCTCTACACTCTACAGCTCTACACTCTACAGCTCTACACTCTACGGCTCTACACTCTACGGCTCTATACTCTACAGCTCTACACTCTACAGCTCTACACTCTACAGCTCTACACTCTACGGCTCTACACTCTACGGCTCTACACACTACGGCTCTACACTCTACGGCTCTATACTCTACAGCTCTACACTTTACAGCTCTACACTCTACAGCTCTACACTCTACAGCTCTACACTCTACAGCTCTACACTCTACAGCTCTACACTCTACAGCTCTACACTCTACGGCTCTATACTCTACAGCTCTACACTCTACAGCTCTACACTCTACAGCTCTATACTCTACAGCTCTACACTCTACGGCTCTATACTCTACAGCTCTACACTCTACAGCTCTACACTCTACAGCTCTATACTCTACAGCTCTACACTCTACAGCTCTACACTCTACAGCTCCACACTCTACAGCTCTACACTCTACAGCTCTACACTCTACAGCTCTACACTCTACAGCTCGACACTCTACGGCTCTACACTCTACGGCTCTACACTCTACAGCTCTACACTCTACAGCTCTACACTCTACAGCTCTACACTCTACGGCTCTACACTCTACGGCTCTACACTCTACGGCTCTACACTCTACGGCTCTACACTCTACGGCTCTACACTCTACGGCTCTACACTCTACGGCTCTACACACTACGGCTCTACACTCTACGGCTCTATACTCTACGGCTCTACACTCTACAGCTCTACACTCTACAGCTCTACACTCTACGGCTCTACACTCTACGGCTCTATACTCTAGAGCTCTACACTCTACAGCTCTACACTCTACAGCTCTACACTCTACAGCTCTACACTCTACGGCTCTACACTCTACGGCTCTATACTCTAGAGCTCTACACTCTACAGCTCTACACTCTACAGCTCTACACTCTACAGCTCTACACACTACGGCTCTATACTCTACAGCTCTACACTCTACGGATCTATACTGTACAACTTATAGGTCACGGTGTGTGCAGAGGCCATCTTGGACGTTTTACGTCTTCTCATAGGTTGGACTGGTTCGTGAAATTGTCTTCATCTAATTGCCTTTTTTTCTGGCAACTTCATTTTCACTAAAGTTGTTTTAATGAGGAACTGTCCCTCTTTTTTTATGAGTTCATAAAAATGCTTATTACTCATACAAGTTGTATTATAATTCGTAATTTAATTGAAAACTTGAGCTCATTGATTCAGCTGTGTGTGAATTCAGGCCGTATAAAAGTGCTGAGTGGAGACTTAGCGTGACACTAGCTCTCTTCCACTCACAGAACGAGGAGCGGTGCGAACAGGCCGCCTCTTCTAGCTTCTACAGCGCTGCTAAACACAGTAGCATGTTAGCAGAAAGGGGCAATACCTGCCCTGGCTGTAACTGCAGACACAGCAAAACAGCCCAAACAACACAACAGTGAGGAAGAGAAGAGGGAAGAACTAAAGCGAAAAAATGATCAAAGAAAAACCATGCCCCGATGAACATAGCGAGCTTACATTGTATCCTCTGGAGAGACCTGTGGGAGCGGGACCGCCTCAGACGGACTATGCTCGGACTACGTTCGGACGCAAAAATAGCGGTAATCTTTCAGGTATATGTTTTGTTAGCAGTGCGTTACTTTTGTACCATTTCATCAGTGATTGTTGTACAGCTCACGATAAGTTGCGCTCATGCAATGTTTGCATATAGATCGCAAATAAAACTAGATCGCAAATAAAACTAGATGACTCCGTGGGATGAGAGCGTAGGGGAAATGAGAAGCCTGTGAGCGAGTTTGGGGCGGTGCTAAACATTCAAACTTTGCAGAAACGGGTATAGCTCCTTTAACAAAGCTGTATTTTAACTTAAAGATGTAGTCAATGATTTATCCAGACACATTTAAAATCTTTTGGGAAATATCCCTAAACCCCAAAAGTAGTCAAGTAATTATGCGTTTTCAAATAGGAATGGACCAGATGCCTTAAACCTCAAAAAATAATTAATAAATATTTTGGATCAGACTGATAGAAAGAAAACAATTGGATGGAAGACTCTGGACGCAGCTAGGGCTCTGTAAAGCAACGGCAGTCTAGCGCGTGTCAAGTATATCAGGCTAATCGCTCACAGAGTTGACCCTAATGTAGTGTAATACTTTCACAGACTGCGTTATTACAGAAACACGAGGACGAGGGGAAGTGACTCGGTGCTACTCGGATGCTAGTGCTAAGCTAACATGAACATTTGCTGCACCTTTCATCCAACAGTTTTTGAGTGACACTAAAGATTATAATCACAGCTAAAGAGCATAAATTAAGTTCTAATAAACAGATTCCATGGAGGACTTATTTACATCTGCTTATTGGGTTTGGGGAATGATACTCAATTTAAACCAGCGTTTTTCAACCGGTGTGCCATGGAAAGCTAGTGTGCCTTAAGATATTTATTAGTGTGCCTTGGAAATCGTCCAATATTGGTCAAAATCATGTTTAAAAAAAAAAAATGTGACATGATTGGAAATACTTTTTGGAGCTTGTTTGATTTGCTATATAAACACAATGATGATAATGACTTTGCTTTGTTATTAAAGGCTGGAGAGTTTAATTTTTATATACAATTCAGTTCGTGTTATGCCACAAGATTTTTTGCAATGACAAAGGTGTGCCACGGCTTAAAAAGGTTGGGGAACACTGATATAACCAACAACAACAACACATGTGTAATCCCCATAGGACTGATCGGTCTCCATTTACTGATGTGGTATCATAAAAATCCACTAAAAACAGTGAAATTAGTGGTAGAAAGATGCTAAAAACAGATGAAACTAATCCACGACCGGTGACTTTCTTCTGTCGGGTCCTTTGGCAACAAATTTCCCCCAGTGTCGTTAGCCTGAGGGAAGGATCTGCTGTAACGAAATACAAAGTCTCCGTAGAGGTTTATGCTTTTGCCTTTCTGGGAATATTCCATTAAAAGTGCAGTAAGATTTATTGAAATTGTATGAAAAAACAGTTACCTCAGTCGTTTGCTAATATCCTGCTTTGTAATGAGGGAAAAACCGCTAACCGTCCAGTAATGACGACAATTATAGTTATATATTTATAGTTATAAATAAGTGTTGCATTCGTTTAACAAGCCAACATGTATTAAAGAGTAAATTACATGTGACGAGGTAAGCAGGAGATATTAATTTTTAAGTATGAAAAAGAAAAAACAGATGAAAAGCCATTCTTTAGCAAACTGGACAACTTGACTTATTTGAGCAAGTATTTATACTGAAAATATTTTGTGTTGTATTTTGTGCCAAAACCTCTCAAAAATTCACCAGTTTTTATGAATTTCTGACACTTTAGAATAAATACAGAACCTTCTTCCTGTGATGTCATCAGTCCTACACCTTCCTCTACTTCTTGCACAAACACAGCACTTTTCTATTATTTATATTTAACAACAATAATAATACATTTTACTTATATAGCTTTTTGCCAGTTTTCTAAGCGATGGCATGGGAGTCAATCCACCCAAAAAAATCCCAAATCCTAGATATGTTTACATGCCGTGTTGCTTCTCATGCCAAAATGTCTCTAAAATACAGCAGGTTTGACACATTTCTGAGATTTAGAATGAACACAGAACATTCTTCCTTCTTCCTATTCTCAAATGCTACTTCCACTTTTCCGTGTTTATTTATTACAATCAGAAAGTCTGCAATCCGGGTTGCCAGAACTCACTATGTCGAGCTATTATATACCATGTGGCCACAGAATTAAAAAAGGTCTCGTTATGATTCTCAAATCATTAACAACAAAACAAGGAATACAACCAGAATTTCTATCTTTGTGAAAAGGTGTTGTTTTAGATTTGTTGTTGACAAAGCTCTTGTCTATTAAACTATTATGGTCTCAGCTGGATTCGTCGGCATATCTGGCAACCTGAGTCAGGGAAAGTGGGAGAGGTTGCAGTACCACTTTTTGGCCATATTTTTATACAATATATTGCTCTTTTAAAACAGCTATCATTCCAGCAAAAAAGTCCAAATTATAATCTTGTAAACCTTGACGTCATTACTGTGGTATTGGAAATATTTAATTGTGATAACTTTGAATAGAAACTATTTTACTGAAACGTGTGCAGTTGGAGCTCGAAAGATAACTCTAACAATAAACTATAGGTAACTAAAAAAATCTGTGTTTCAGGCCCAGATGTGTGTTTGTTGGTGGTTGTTTTTTGAGTTTCTTTATAATTATCCTGTGGTTTAAGTTTACAGAAGCCACAGACGCTAATGGAAGCAAGGAATCTGGGCCCATAAAAAAAGAGCGGCCGACTTCAGTGCGTTTGTTAAACCAAAGTGTCTGATGAAAAACACTAATGATGAGTGAGATTTTTCCCTTTTCTTTTTAAAGGTTTTGAACTAAATCCAGTTGGAGTAAAGGTGAACAGAGGAGGGAGGTACAGGCACACAACATACGTCTACTGCTATAGTGTTGGTCAAAGTTCATATCAGATTTCTCGTGGTTCTGCAAGAAAAACCCAAGAGGAAGGAGGATTTTATGTTAAGAGTCTGTTTCTAAGGCGCAATAATGGGAACCTATAGAACCCGGCCTCCCTCGAGCCGGGACTCATGAGAATAATCATGATACATCTTTATTTGTATAGAACTTAAAAAAAAACAACAACAAAAACATGCATTTCAAAGCGCTGCACAGTCAGCATAAAGCAGTCAAAAATACAGTCCAAAACAGTCAAAACAACCAAAAAGCAGTCAATAAAACAGTCAAAAACAGTCAATAAAACAGTCAATAAAACAGTCAAAAACAACCAAAAAAAAGGGTCAAAAAAAAAAACAGTAAAAAAACATTCAAAAAAAGAGTCAATAAAAGAGTACAAAAAACAGTCACAAAAAGTCAGAGGATTGCATGTTCTCTTCATTCCTCTGGGTGCCACCACTGCATAATAGGTCTGAGTGTAATGAGTGAGTGAATGGATGGTGTTTGTACATTGTAAAGTGCTTTGGGTGACCTTGGTCTGTAAAATGCGCCATATAAATAAACATTACTCACTTACACTAAAAACATGTACAGGCCCATAGTGACTTCCTAGGACGGATCAAATACAGAGAACACATTTACTTCCGGTTATAATAAAGTTGACCTTGCGTTATTCATTTTGTTTTATAATTGTGTGCTTTTCCAATCCACCGATGGTTAATCAACAATTTGCCGTTCGAGACGACTGCTGTTGTGATTTAGGTTGTGATTTAACTACACATTTGGCGACTCTCGCTTCTCAGAAAGAAGGTACAGGGCCTTTCTGAGAGGAGTTTGTATGTTCTCCCCATGTTTGCATAGGTTTTCTCCTTGTGCTCCGGTTTTCCCACCACTAAAATCATGCACAATAGGTCGGAATGGTATGAGTGAGTGAATGGTGTTTGGTCAGAGGCTTTGATGGACCAGTGTGTTCGCCGTCTCGGTTCTGTCTCTACCGTGAGAAGAGAGTGGAGCGATATCTGATTTCTGAACATTGTAAAGTGCTTTGGGTCTGAATCTTGGTCTGTAAAATGCGCTATATAAATAAAAATGTCTTACTTAGAATGATTTAGATTTAGAATGTATGTTTGTAATGTGTGTGCGTCATATGGGAATAAAATCAGTGTTTTAGCCGCAGTTCAAATCAATAATTACATTTTAAAAAATCTATATTTCTTTAAAATGCTGCAGTTTTATGTGTTTGTAAATGTGTCTTTGTAATGAATTGTGCTGTATATAGATAAATGCATGTATAAATATAACTGGCATGAGATTATTTTGAAAAAGTGTATAGATCTCCTGGATGAGTTTGTCTTGCTAACACAAAACACTCTTTCTATGGAGTTTCTTAAGATTCTGAGGATAATGCGACATCACAGACAGCACAGACAGACGTAATGGCCGCAGCTACACAACGATATAAATACATGAATAAATACTACCACATGGTTCATGAATAGAAACATGAAGCCAGATTTCACGCTCATAGAGTTGGAAATATGTCTTAAGAAAACCTTTCACGGATTCAGATGATATTCATAGAGAGAATAATAGTTTGTTATGAGAACCAGAAGGAAATCCATCAACTCGTATCCAGTCATTATAACAAAACATAAAAATGCATTTATACACACAGAAAAAAGGGATAAAATTAGTCAAAAACTGCTCAAATTTGGCTAATGTATTTTAATTTTAGCACATTCTTTGAAACAAGATTCTTCAATGGGACCAAGCCAAATGATCTTGTTTTAAAAAGATACAGTAATGTGTCTGAAATGAGAAAATAAACGAGAAACAGTTCATGAAGTAACACTAAATGTACAAAAACACTCAATTTAAGCATTTATTACCTCATATTTTACATTTTTTGCTGTGCATGTAGATCTATTTGATAATACAGACCATAACAGTGTGATAGTCATCCACAACTCATCTCTCTCTCTCTCTCAAAACGAACCCACTGAACCCTTTTTGGCATCAAGTCAAATCCTACAGGGCCTGGTCATACCTCCTGACAACAGCCTATATATCCTCACATCTCCTCACATGTGGCCCACTGCCCTCTGTCTTAACTAAATGAGATTCGAACATGACCCAAGCTGAACCACTTCTCTGACCAGGGGGGCCCGGATGGATGGAGTGCACTAATTTTGGCCACGCACTCACGCAGAGACGCACGCATGGATAGTACTATACTCTACCCACGCAAGAGCCTTCTAAATGCCTTCTCCACAAAAACCAAAAAGGACAGCCATGTATTATTGATGCAAGGCTTACGTGCCATCCTATAAGCCTGTATTTTCATTGGTTGATTTTTTTTCCTATATATATTTATACATATACACAGCCAGCTTTGTTTTTTGTATCATACATTATAGATAGATTTATGCATGAACGTGGCAAGAACAATGTAAAAAAAAAAAAAAAAAAAAAAATTTTCGAATAGCTGAAGAGGCAATGGGCAAGATGGAGCTGGTTTGTTTACGAGAAGCAAGAAGCGTAGCCTATATACATGTACACACATTTATATACACGCACGCATACACGTACACATACATACACACAGCAGAGCCAATAATGTGTCGCTTGCCTCTCTCTGCGTTTTTCTCGTTTAGATTCATCTTACCTCTCTCTGCTCGCATCCAAACCGTGCGGTCGCTATCCAGAGGTGCCAGCAGAGGACATTCAGAGAAAATGCCTTTTTAAAATTCACCGCATTCGTACAGTCTTCTGGCAAATCTGGGTCACCGCCACTCGGGCCATCGCTTCTTCTTGTTGTTGTTGTTGTAAAAAGGGAAAGAATGTAGACGAGGGCCACACACGTACAGGTAGCTATCCTGTCAGCCTCCGAAGCGCCATTCTGTGTCTAGATCCAGATGTGGCCAATGGGAGAAATCCATTTCTGGCCAGAAGCTCGGATGCAGACTGTCACCTTGTGCGTAAAAGGCGAGCGCAGTCAGTCCAGCGTGCGTCTCTCTCTCTCCTCCTCCTCCTCTCTCCTCCTCCTCCTCTCTCTCCTCTTTTTGCAGCCTAAGTCACAGCTTTATCGCTCTATTTCTGTCCTTCTCTGATGCGTGCTCTCTGCTCTGCATGGTTTGTGCGCCCGCGGTAGTTTAACATGTGCTGAAGGGTGGGGGGTTGGGAAAGCGCACTATTGCTGCTGCTGCTGCTGCTGCTGCTGCTGCTGCTGCTGATGATGATGATGATGATGATGCTGTGGTGTGATGATAGTGATGGTGTGGTTGTGGAGATGGTGGAGGTGGTGGTGACTTGGTTGGAGGCACGTACAGTATAGGATGCACTGCCGCCTGGTGAGGGGGTTATAGGGGATCAAGATTTACATTTTCACACGCGCCAATACTAAAGATATATAGTGCAATAGCTTGTAATGATATTATTATTATTAATATATGAAGCTCCCACTGAAAGATCTCAGCTCCTGTGGACTCACCACCTGCAGGAGGATCAGTGAGGGGCTGGTGCTCTGTATACTGGGTGCAGCTCTGACTGCCACCGCCCCCCCACCCCCCCGACCCAGAAATGGATTAAGGGGAAGAAAATGGATGGATGAATATGTGTATCTTTTAACTCTATCCTATGTTTGTATGATTGCGAGCAAGGAACCAATGCATAATTTTCTTTTAGGATCAATAAAGTATACTGTATATCCATCTATCTATCTATTATAAAAGTGGAATAAAAAAAAGAAAATATAGTTTGCCTTCTGTGTGAGGAGAAATATGGAAGAGCAAAACTGTCAAAATAATACAAATCAGTGTCTCAATCTGTCAATAATATTTAGATAACATTTAAATGATGTAATAAATATGTTGTTGTTTGCGACTTGGTGATATGAAAATGTAAGATTAGTTTTTTGAGAAAAATAACATTTTCATATTTATTGTTTTTTTCATAGTTACAGATGTACCCGGGAATATCTGAAGTTTCTGAGAACAGCAGAGTCACATCAGGGTGGATTCCTTAATTACAGAAAAATGCAGCAGTTCTTCCTGTGTGTCTTTGTGAGTCACATCCTCACTCTTCTGCAGTGACGCCGAGATCAAGATCCGGGTAAAACTCCTGAGAACACAACTTAGAAGACTTAATAACACAGAGGAGTGAACGAATCAGAGAGAAACAGCAGAGTTCAACACATTAACAATATCTGTATAAGTTAATACTTCAGTGTGCCCCAGGGCAGCTGTGGCTACAGTGGTAGTTTACCACCACCGTGTTTGGAGTTGTGTTATTAATGTTAGAGTCACAGAATGTAACTGGAGGAGGAAGAGGCTCCTCACACATGTAGAGGCAGGAGTCAGGCGGTAGAACGAGGACTGAGGCTGTAGATCCAGGACTGAGGCTGTAGATCCAGGAGTCAGGTTGTAGAACGAGGACTGATCCGCTGTGATCTCTGAGGCCTCTCTCTCATCAGCAGGAGGTTAAGAAGACAATCAGGTACTACTTTTGATAATAGTTAATCAAATAAAAAGATAGTACACTCTTGCACAAGGCAGAACAAAAATACGGAACAGGAGACATCACACAAGGCTTTAGAATACTTTCAAAAGAGTCAAGATAAAATCCTTCACGTGTATTTACAGCTAACAGAACTGATTATAACCTGGATTTGCACATTCTCAGAGAAGAAGCCTGTGTCACATTCTCAGGAAGACTGTTCTAGATTGTAGCTGCATACTTCTGAAAT